TAGAAGTAAAAAAATACCTAATATAGCTCAAGACAAATAAAAAAAAGAACTTGAAAATAAAGAAAATACTAAAAATAATATCAATTTAGAAGAAGATAATTTATAAATTCAAATATGCTTATGTCTTATTAAAAAAATGAGACAATCTATTCTTAATGAAGAAAAGACAAAGTTCTAATATTATAAGTGCACTCTCATCAATTTATCATAGACAAGAACTTGATGAAAGTAAATAAATAAGTGAGATTTTTTCAAAAAAGTATGAAAAAATAGAAATAAAGAAGTATGTATATCAAAAAGAAATTAAAATGGATATTACTAAAAAAAAAATAAAATAAAATAAAAAAATTAGAGGCTTCTTGAAACTAGTGTAGAAGCAAGAAAAGAATTCATAAAAATAAAGAAGGCTTTACTCTTACCTCTATATATACTATCTACTTGAGAATTAGGTAACAACATTCTATAGAACCTCCAAAATGTGTTGACTTTGCATGATATGTATCTTAACTTGTAAAGCAAGTTTTTCATATAGGCACCATATAGTTAGCTTGGTCTACAAGCTATCAACATGTATAGTATGTGGTTAACTTGTAGACTAAGTTTCTAATCTATCAATCAATTATAAACATATGTAAAGTCAAATTAGCCTCTATGAAGCTTCTAAAAAGCTTCTCTAAAAGATATTATAAAACTAATATACTTTTATCTACTTCTATCTATTCATATTACCTATATAACAATTACAATAAATATATGTCCATGATACTACAATCTTTATGTTACTATTGTAAACAAAAATAAACTTTGTTTGTATAATCTCATAATTTTGGCTATCATTTGTCCACAAGCCACTCCATTCTAAGACATCAATTAAATCCTTAAAAACAAAGATGTTGCCAATACCTCTACATTATCATGCAATTATAATCACAAATTAAATCTTGCACACTTCTTTAAGATTGTGATAGCACATATTATCACCTCAACATAAAAAAGAAATATAATTATGAAGCATCATGTCTCATTAGCAACAAAAATTGTGGTTATTGTGATGGCATTTAATAAACTTCAAATCAATATAGTTTTTTATAAAAACATCCCTCACCACAAGTTTTTAATCTCATACTTAACTCATGTTAGCACTTCTCACACTATCTGTCTTATACTTCACATTGCACCATTGCCTTCTCATGATCTTAATCACTTTTGTACTTCAAGGATCTTACATTAGTATTCTTCTATAAGCAAATTAAATTTATGTCAAAGATCATAATAAATATTTATCTTTTGATTTAAGCTAACAAGAAAATTAATTAAGAAAGGTTAGTTTACAACTCATTTATGAGTAAGTTGTGATATTTATGGCAAGACTTACACTCACATCATATCATTGGCCTAATTCTTATAAGTTTTTAATATATATATATATATATATATATATATATATAATATTAAAAATATTAATAATCTTAATTTTTTTATAAATAGTAGTTTTTAAAAAAATCAAAAATTCTAAAAATATTAAAAATAGAAAATCTAAAAAAATCTTAAATAAATCCAAAATAAATCCTAATCAACTTTAATTTAATCTTAATCAAAATCCTAATAAACCTTAACCAAATCCAAGGTCAAATCCTAATTAAAATCCTATTTGAAATCTTAATGAATCTTAACTAAATCCTAAATCAAATCCTAATAAAATCTTAAACAAATCCTAAACCATAACCATAGATCAAATCCTAATAAAATCCAAAATCATAAACAATTCCAAGAAAATTCCAAGTAAATTTCAATCAATTATTGTAGCTATTTGAAATTTCAATAAATATCAATTGAAGTGTAGATCTTAACTAAAATTTTACTTAGACTTCAAATAGTAAGTAATTAATAAGAATTTTTTTTTAAAAAAAGAATCAAACTTATCAATTGCAAGAAAATCTTCCAAAATCTCTTAGTCATTAGCCACCTTCTTTCTCAAACTCAAATGCTGATCTTTCAACGCCAATTTTTTCTTGTTGAATCATTGAATTTCTCCAAAAATTGGATCATATATAGATATTAAAGTCGTAGGTGAGCTCTCCAAATTTTACTCCAATCCAACTAGAAAATATTGCTAGATCTCAGAATCACTCAATGACCTTAAATTTCAAATTTTTTAGACTATAATCCACAAAAATCCTCATATGCTTCAATCTAACTTTTAGATTAACCTCAAAAATTTTATACATATCAACAACAAGTACAACAATAATCTATCTAAATTTCACCTATACACATACCACAAAATTCAAGGATTTATTTCTCAAAATCTAAACGCATTGAAAATATTACTAATTTTGAAAATCCCTAAAACTCTGAATATTGATTCAAATAAAATAAAATCAATGTCTAAAAATCTCTCCTCAAATTTTCTCTCAAATCTTATTTTTTAATTTACAAAAGAATCTTAGAATCACTATAGGCATGTAATTTTGTGCCTTAGGATCTAATTTTGACTCAAGTTAATAATCAGTCCTCTCTAGGTATCAAATTTTAGTAATTTGATGTATTTTTTTATTTTAACTTATTATTGACTATCTCTTAAAAATACCTATATCAATTACTTATCTCATTTACTTTGATTTGGCTCATTTATGCCTCTACAAAGTAAATAAAGTTTCTTCTATGAAAGGTAGCATTAAGACTAAATTTTTTACTATCTTTCTATAATTTATTATTGTTTCTCTACTATATCTTTCTACTAGGTTCTTCTATAATAACATCTATTTTTTAATTTTTTACCATATAATTTTGTTACTACATGACAATGCCTTACTTAAACAACAACATAAAGAATACAACAATAAATCTAAGCAAAAAAAAATTTGTGGAAACATTAGCATTAATACAATTTCAATCAATACTACACTATTCTAATGCAATCCTAGAGAGGTGGATTGAAAGACGGCCATCCATAGTATGCATTTATAATAAGAAATTCTAAGACATACTATTTAAAAATTGATTTTGGTAGAAGCAATGCAAAGAACAAGATTATTGAGCATCAAAGATGTCAATTAAGCTACAATTGACAAATATATAGGCTTTACTATATTATTATAGGTTTAGCTTAATAAAGCATAAATGGCATTACAGAAGTTGTAAAATACACCTTCTATCTTTACAAGCATCAAAGATCTAAAAGATGTATAGTAAAGAGCAACAACATATGTCTAAAGTTGGAGGAATATGATTGCATTATAGTACAATGTAAAGATGAGGTTGCAATGCTTGCATATGAATATACAATTATAAAAGAGGAAATACATGAATTACAAGATAAACTCCTAATAGCAGAGCACAAATAAAATAGCTTAGATACTATAAAGAATATTATATAAGCTTAAATAAAAGAGCTATAAGTAATAAAAATGGAGTTATATGATACAAAGAAAGTGATTGAGTCTATGATTAAAGAATTACAATTTCAGTTCAAAAAAACAATCTAAACAATAGTTGGATTTATAGGTAGGAAATTTTAACAAATACTAAAAGAATAAGGTTGGACAAAGTCATCTTAGCTCATTGTCAACACCAATAATAGATAAAGATGGCTTGTGCAAAAGTCACTACTACAAGACATCCACATCTCCGAATCATATCTTTAGTACCTATGCAAAAGTATAAATTCACTACACAATTCTTTTGATAGAGCAATAAATTACAAGGATAGATTATAAATCTTAGATAGCACTTCAAATCTTGATTGTAGCTTGTAAGAAATCTATGATGCTTCCTAACATAAGGAACAAATGCTAATAGATTGACATAGGCAGTAATTTATAAAAATAACAACCTAATACATGTTCAATAATGAAGATTATAGGAGCAACTTAGACAAATAGATTAAGGATGTGGAGCTTGAAAAAAATTTAATTTTGAAACATTTCACTAAACATCCTCAATTTAGGTAATTATATGATATAACTATAAATATGGTATCTTATTTATTTTGTAGCAAATTAAAAATTGGCCAATTTTTTATGTATACATCTATATATTATACATATAAGCAAAATATTATTGCATGCATCAAAGCTTGGTTATTGCAATACAATAACTACATAATAGTAAACAACTATCTTTCAACATTCAATCTTTTTTTCACAAAAATATGCCAAAAATATCTTCATATTATCCATATCTTGAAAACAAGATGTAACATATCTTAAAGAATAAAATATTATCCACATAAACAATCTGTTATCTATTAGAACAATCTCATATCCACTAAAATAATTAATTGGTATAAGATTAAAGAAACAAGCAGAAAGATAAAAGCAACATTAACAATGCTCCTACAAAATGGAAAGGCATTTTTCAAGTATAAGCTAGCGATGATGACTATTAAAGAATTGGAGTGGTACCATAGTAGTAGTCAAGAATTAGTAGAATAAAGTATTGTATTACCAAATAGTAGAACTTCAAGATAGAGTAGTACTAAGGTGGATGCTATATAATTCCAAATCTTGGTAATAAAATAGCTCATTTATAAATTAAAATATGTTGTTGATTGTGGTTGTCATCAAGTTTTTTCTTGTACTTGCTTACAACATCTAAAGCTTAAAGAAAAAAATACATAAAAAACTTAAGATAGCAAAAAATTTAAAATTTTGATGCTAATATATTGATCCTATTAAATTCTATGTTTTATAAGAGTACAATAATAAATAAAATTTTGATTTTATAGAAAGATATGAAGTTATAATAGAATAATATAATAGAAAAATATGATTTATTCCAAATGTCCAAACAAGATAAAATTTTATCTTCTACCATATTTATTAAAAATATTGAATTGTGCATTATTGAAATTTTTCAAAAAAAATTATTATACTAGGCCTTAATGGAATAGTCTTATTAGTCATGCATTGAAGTTCCAAAAAACCAAGAAAATAATTATAATAGATATGTAAATAATTCAGCATTATCAATTATGAAAAAGAGCTTGTAAAGCAATATTTATGAAACATACACCATTGAATTGTCAATACAATAAAAGAAAATAAAAACACAGTGAAAATAAGGGGTTGCAGAGTAGAACAAAGAATTGTTTCTTTGTTTTTTGAACGAGTAAGTTGAGCAATTTTAATTTTCCAATCCATGGTAAGCACTACAGGAATGACAGTCAACAAGCACACAATCAATTCCTTTTGAGCTAATGAATCCAGGTATCCTACAGCTTTTCAGAATAAGTGATCATGATGAACTACATCTAATTGTTTCAGTTCTGATCGACAACCAACTGGTTTGTTCTTCCGCATCATCTGTGCCGATTCATTCATGAAGATGACACCCTCTCACGTTCTCCTTGTTCCTCTTCAGATGGATTGAGCACGTTTTCCCTGCAATGTTTGCACATTACAAACGCCATACTTGGAGTCTGCCCATCCTCTGAGCTGTCATAGACTGGGTCACTGCAGCAAGGACGCTTTTCTTCACTCATTTGTGGGAACAGTTTCACATGTTGATCTCTCAGTGATGCAGCTTGCATTGAAAACCTGGCTCCGCCTTGTCGATGCCTCATTCTATGCTGTTTTTCGAGCTCTTGAGTTGGGTCCAAGTTCTGAAACCCTGTCCTTGGAATATAAGTTCACGGAGCTGGACTGGATGATGGTTCCACTGGGACCCTGATATTAGTATTCCAACCCTGGATCGTAAAAGTAGAAAGTAGAAAAGGTTATTAAGAAAGAATGCTCAAACTTGTTAATCAACAGGAACTTTACGGAACTTTCGACACTTTTAAGTTTGGTATTCCTGAACCTGGCGATTTTTCTCTCTTGAATAGCATTTATGATTTGGAACCGAAATATCCTGATAACCAAAAGTGTGCCTGTCACTCATCGTATCAATTTGTTCTTGCACAGTATTGCAAACCCCTTGAGTCCACCCCTCCCGACCTACACGTTTGTTTGTTTGAGTTTCCTTGGATCAGGCCCTCTCTGACCCCTCGTTATCCCTTTGTGTTAGTCGAGAGCTTCAATTTTCTCCAGAAATTCAATGTTTCACAGCTTACAGTCAGTTCAGTGTATCTCATGTTGATTTCCTGTTTCTGCGCCTCTTTGCCAACCTGGAATTGAATGGTGGACTGCGACTATCACACTGCTCTAAGTGTAGCAGATTTTAGATCCACTAAATTGGGAAGTGATATCCCACTTTTACAAGAATCAGTTCTCTCTGATTTGGGAGAGAATGCCTCTGAAGTTACCAGGTATTTGATTCTGGCATTTGAGAACAGCCTTCAGACAGGAACAAGAGCGCTTTGTGTCGTCAAACGTCTAAGTCTTGCTTTGAATTGCTCCTGCGTGTCCTTTCTGCACAACAACAACGCAAGCCGAAGGGAAGTTGCCGACTAGACTTTAGTTAAGGGTTAAATTTTATCCAGTGGAACTCTAGGGGTGAGTTTTGAACATGATTCAGAGGTGTGATTGGCTTAGTGTTCAACTTTTCGTTAACAATCTTCATACTTTTCTTCCTAGCGCTCCATCTAAAGAGTTGGTTACGTTTCATTGTCCTTTGCAATGGTTAATGCCCCTTCACCAACATAGAAGGCATATCTAGGTTTTCAACACATAGCCAATTGACAGCTGATCCTCTCGGCTAATTTAGTGGCTCGGGTGCAAAAAATTGAATCGACATGCAGTCATTTTCGATTCCATTTCCAGCTCTACAATGCGGCAAACAACCAGCAATTTCTGTATTAGCTTTCTTGCGATGTTCCTATTTCTAGAGAGAAAAAGCCACGTTCTGGTTTGACTAATTTGAAAAAAAAATTCAGCTACTAGTAGTTTTGCAGAGCAGAAAAAGTTTGACCTCCTGTGGATCATATGCGTAATTGTCGGCTTGATATGATTCATGTCAAGCTTTCTCCTAAGAGGTCTGAAAATAAAGAACACACTATGCAGCCATTAAAGGGTTTGCAGTCCACCAGCACACAAATTTCTCTACAAAGTACAATGATTAGAACCATACCCCTAACCCTGACATACATGGTAGTCTGCTGCAGTTGGGAGTAGTACACTAAGAATCAGACATGCAACACAAGAGACTCCTGTAAAAACTCAATTCCACCTGGTAACTTTCGTAGAAGGATAACAACCCCTTGTATAAGAGGAAGCATGCCCTACAAACACATACGACCAAGTAGATAATGATGTAGTGTATCTCAAATTTTAATTCTAGATCGTGCAATACCCGTAGATGATGTCCACGTTTCCGATACTACCTGACCCGCAAGTAATTGAAGGGCTCCTGTCTACTCCCTTACCAAAATTTAGCTGCAATACGGCAAAACATGACAGATACTTCTTACTCCCAGCTCAGACGCCACTAATAAAACAAAATTGATGTAAGTTTTCGAATCCAGTCATTTATTTAGCTCCGGTGTATCTTAGTCCTTCTGTTCTTCTGAACTTAAAAAGATGTCGAACCGGCGTGTCTCCACAAACTGAGCCCGACTTACCAAATGCGTGGATCATCAGAGCAGCAAATGACATTGCATGTGTGTAAGTACGCCACTTTTTGTTCATACCACAACTGTACTAACTCTTCAAGAGGGTAGAGACATCACATTTGTTGTTACGATACCTGGAATCCACCTTCACCTGCTCCGTTAAAGACAGCTTCTCCTCGTCCTCTGCCTCTGATGATCACCCACAAACAGATCATTCGTCGTGACCATCAGTTTTCATGTCAAGTGTCAAGTCTCGATCAATTAATAACATGCATGGCGAGGTCCTTGCGGAGAGACAGCAGTTTGACAGCTTGAAACTGCTCATCTTGGAGCCATACAAGACCTCTTTAGCCTACGTCGCAGCGCAAGAAACTAATTTTAAGTGGAGATGTCCCTTCAATTGCTCCATGTCTTGTAATGCATTCTACAGCGGCAAATAATTTCGATGGCCGTTGCACATGAGCAGTTCTCATTTTTCCCAAAATCTTCACAAATCTCTCAAAAAGAATCTGAATACTAAACCATGAGGATTAGATCATGACAAAGAGAGGAAGGCACGGCGACCGCACCCGCTGCCATCGGCGCGGCCGCCCTTCGAGCTTCCCATTCGCAAGACGGGTTTTCCACCCATCCAGATCTGCAAATTCCCACCCTTGCCCTTGCACGGAATGATTCGCAGCCCTTCATTGCTAGATTTGATAACGCTATTGCCCATCAACTGGATCCTGCCCTGTTCTCCGCCCCTGGAACCGCTGCAAACCAGACTTAGCTTGTTACACCTGTTCGGTGTAGTTGGAAGATGAAGTGACGCCGGGCTGCCGTTCCTGCCTCCACCACCCACCACAATGCACGTATCGTCGGCGGTTTTGGTTCGCACATACACAGGCCTGTCAATGCGCCGGGGCTGCAGGGTGGATCTGGGGGTGGACTTGGCACGTCCGCATGGGTATGTTGCGTGGTGGGAGTCCTGAGACTTGCACCGCTCACAAAGATTTGCCATCAGTCACGTAGTCTTGCACCCACAGACACGACTCATTCTTTCAGGTCACAGATTCCGACGACGCATCGATGCTCTCCGCAGCACATTCATCGGCCCGCGTCATCGTCTCGGATCAGATCGAAAACACTGGCTGGATCCACTAGACTGCGTCGACGCCGACTTGTGTCATCTGCGGAGGAAGGCTTGCAGTAACGTCTCACTCAGTTCTCAAGATTGCATGCTGCATGGCTGTGACGATGTTGCTACCATTGTGAACAAGATTCGTGACTGCAGGCGACATGGGTGAGAGAGAGGATGTGCTCTAGTGATCCGCGACGAGGGAGCCAGAAGGGCGTCGAAGGGAAAGAGAAAAAAAGAAATAAAATAACAGGGCCAAACTCAGGGTCCTGAGGCCCCTGTTGGGTGCGGCCAATGGGTTAGTTGTAGGCAGGCAGTCCAACAGTTGTGACTCTATGCTTCCAGGCCTCTTCATTCATTGCTGGGCCATTTGAAGAAGTAGAAAAGCTGCCTGCCGGGTTGGCATTACCGTTGAGAAATGAGGGAAACGAGATGTTACTGAGCCTGGGTTCTCATAACATATATATAAAAAAATATATATACATAGGACTATTTATTTGCATGACTATTTTGCAAATAAATAGTCCAAGCAATTGAATAATTTTAATAAAAGTGTAACATTCTCTCTGTAAATATGAGAATTAGAGTGTTACTTTGCATTGGGAGTAACAGGTTATAGTTAGTTATTGATGTGTAATAAAGAGCAATATAATTTAGATAGATTTACAGATGGATGAACATACATAGACATATATTACTTACTTTAATTTAAAGATATTTTATTTTATTTATTTTATTTTAAAGTGTAAAATATAAATATAACATAAATTTTAGGATTCAGACATTTCATGATTATTTCATTTTGTATATATCCGTAATATCTATTATTTGATAGTAAGACAATATTTATTTAAGTTGACGTGATAAAGTAACATATAATTGTTATGCAAGATTTGTGTTTTTATGCATTTATTATATAGGTTTCTTTATTGATTATTAGTTCTTCATTTTAAATCTTTTTAATACTTTGATTATATAGAAATTTTATTTTATCATATAGAATAAAAAATATGTAAAAAAATAATATGAGTTTCTTTTCTACTTAGGAGTAATAAAGTAATAATGCCAAAAGAACCAATTTCAATAGAAATTTTTATCTTGTTAGAATATACTAAAAAAAGTTTAATAAAGATTTTTTTGCATATCTTTAGGTCTATTATTAAACTAGTTTATTCTATTATTATTTTTTTGTTTAGTAATAATTGTTTCATATATAATAAAATTTTTTATAAAACAAAATAAAAATACTAAAAAATTATTTTATTTCTCATAGGTAATACAACATATGTATTGCAAACAATGAATTGCATTAAAAAGAGATTTAATAGCTGATAACACTTTGATTATTACATATTATAATTTCTATGCAATGATAGGCCTTTTAAAATATAATTTTTTGATGAAACCTTTGGTCAAAGCTATAATATTTTTATTTCATGATATTTTGATGATCAAGGATCTTACAAAAACAATTATAAAAATAAAAATTCTATTATAATCTTAACTAAATAAATAAATAAATCCTAACATACTTTTGGTGATGTATTATAAAAAATATCCAAATATTTTTTAATTTCATTAGAATCTTTTGCAATATCTTCTTCTTCTTTTGTTGGACTTCATGACAATAAAATTGCAAGATCATAAGCTTTATAGACATACTTATAGAAATATTATATAATACTTATTTTAGAATATATCTCTAAACTAATATAATAAATAAACTTTTTGCAAAGAATATAATTACAAGAAATAATTTTTCATTTTTTTGAAGTTTTTCTTTTGCATCTTTAATTTAGACACATTTTTGGTACAATAATATGGATAATTATTCTTGTTTGAAATATTTCATGAGATTGATAGACCTTGCAATTTTTCATTTTGGTCTCAAAATAATTACAAAGTGAATATATAACAAAATATATATTTTTTACTTCAATATATATACATATATATATATATATATATATATATATATATATTCCAATAATTTTATGATCCATCAAAAATACTTTTAATTTTATCAATTTTTACTTAAAAGCTTTGATGACAAAATTAAAAAAGAAAGGTGTTTGGTCTCTAATAATTCTTTCAAAAATGATTTCCATTGTAGATTGCATACAAATGTAGCAAAACAATTGAGCTTGCCATTTACTTGAATTACATTTATCACATCTAGATAAAAGTAGTAAATATATCTATCACTTCTTATGAAAGACAAAAGCAAAAAAATGCATCTTTCTATGGTATATAAGTCTCTATTATTTTCCAAATACTCATTCAAAGATTATTGTGATGAAAAAATCTTCCAATCTAGTGATAATAATCATCCTTAAATGATAAAAAAAAATACAAAAAATGCTATACATTATTTTTTACACTTACTTATTAAGTACTTAAGTTATATTTTTAAAATAAAATTCTTATTTTTTTATTGTTATTATTTTTTTTATGATTTTAAATTTTTTATAAAATATTTTTATATTTCAATCATATTTTCTATATAGAAACATAATAAATAATATTAAGAGACTACGCATATTTATTTTTTATCTATTCTTATAAGAAAACCATCAATCTCACAAAGGATGATATTTTATTTCAAAGAAGAAATTACTTTTTTATCAATAATTGTAGCAATTTTATTTTGCAATTAGAAAGTGATATCTTCAAATGTCTTTTTGTGTTACTCTTTAATACAAAGTACAAAATCATAATTACTTTATTTTATACTATTATATATAAATTATTGTATTAATGAATTTATAAAATAGATTATTTTTAATATTAGATATAAGATCCTTTCTTATCTCATCTTATAAGTAAATATATATTTATATATATATATATATATATATATATATATATATAGATGTATGAGGTTATTTAAGTTTTCAAAATCTGCTGAAAAAAGTAAAATATAACATTCTAATTTTGGATTATTTAAAAAAATATTTTTTGAACCAATTATATTGAATAGTATATTATAATAAAGTATTTATTAAAAACATAAAATAGTGTGTGTATATATATATATATATATATATATATATATATGTATATTTTTAATTCATGTAAAAAAGTACCACATCCAAAATCATTATTTTGTAGTAATTGATTCTTTTGCATATTCTAATATGTCACATAAACCACAAAAAATTCTTCTTACATAAAAGAATAAATTTTAGAATATATGTTTTTTAATTTAAATAAAATTTTAAGAAATATAATAAAATTTCTGGAAATAATTATTACTAGTTTAAGAATAGATATAACATTTTAATCTTATATAAATATAATAAATACAATTATGTAAGCTTAAAAAATCGTCATATATTAATTTTTAATATTTGATTGATATTTTGTATAAAATAATTCTAAATATTTTTGATAATTTAAAATACCGTTTATAATTTAAATTAAGATAAATATCTATATATTTTTTTAATTAATAATTATAATATAATTAAGATCAAATACAATTCATCTATTTATTATTATTTTTTACTATAATTCCAAACCCATCTTATATTCAATAGTCATAGTTTAATCTAACATTAATCTTTGATTTCTATTCATTTGCTAATCTATTATTAATTATTTATTTACTATTATTATTAAAATATCTACAATCTCTAATTAAGCAAGAAAATAAATTATAATTTAAAATAAGATTTATAATTTTAGTACTAAAAGAAAAAGATTGTATTAGAAGAAGTATTCTTTAAAAAAACCTCTTTATAATTATAACATGTTCACAAAAGTTTTTTTTAGCCATCTTGGAGTCTTAAAACATGCTTTTAAAAAATATGAGATAATCAAGTTTTTTGTGATGGCCATAGTTGTTATTGTTTATGATTTTCAATTCATTTTTTAAAAATTAAGAAAAAATAGAATAGAATAAAATAAAATAAAAAAATCTCATTTCTTGTTATTTCAATTTGGTTTCTATTTTGTAGTAAAATTTTAGCAGTTATTACAAATAAGTAAAAAAAAAAAGAAAAACTATTTAACTGAATGGAAAAAAATACTTTTTCTTTAGATATACTTTATATAAAATTTATGTGTATGGATCTTATATTTTAAATGATATCAAAATTTCAAATGAATTTAATAAATAAATTTATAATAGAATTTTTTTAATAAATAGTTTTTTCAAAACATTGCAAGTTTAAAATATTACAAATACCATTATAACAATTTTTTAACCATAACAACACTTCATGTTCATGATTTGAAGAAAACAAAATCACATAAGGATTTTAATAACATAGTAGAACCTATAAACTCTTAAAGAAAAAATACAATTGATAATTTTTTTAAAGTATGTTTAATGATATATAAGCACTTTATTATTGCCAATCTAATACAAAATAGAATAAGATTTTTTCTTTTCAAATAAAATTTTCTTTTATTATTAAAAAAATAAAACTTTAATATATCGTAAAGATGTACTTATGTAATTATTTTAAATAGAGTGGCTATTTTATGTACTTGAATTAAGAAGACAATGCGCATGCTAAAATTTTGATATTGCATTTATATTTATAAATTCTTGAAATAAAGATTATAATAATTCTTTTAAAAAATTCTTTGATTATTAGCTTATTAGATTTTGAATTATAATATAATATATAAATCATAAAAAAAAACTATACAATTTTTTAAAAAAAGCTTCGTTTTTTTATTCTTCAAAAAGAGCCATATAGACCTATCATAGATATGCATACTTATTTAGATAAGAAGTGCTAGATAAAAGATAAATATAAGTAGATTTCATATTATCTTGTGGCAAAGCTTCTTAGAAGCTTTATAGACACTTATTTGACTTTATACATATTTGTAGTTGATTGTTAGGTTAAAAACTTGGTCAATAAGTTAACCATGTATTGCAAGTATAGATAGTTTATGGTATAAGCTAATGATGTAGCACACATATAGAAAACTTGACATGCAAATTAAGACATATGTCTTGCAAATTAGACATGTATTGGAGATCCTATAGAATGTTGTCATGTAGCTCATAATTGGATAGTATATATAGAGGTAAGAGTGAAGCTTTTTTCACTCTTTTCAATGCCTCTTTAGTCTTTAGTCTTGTTTTTAGGCTTTTTAATCTTCTTATCTTTGGAAATAGTCATTCTAATTTAATATATTACTATCTGTGAATGATTTTTTAGTCTTTTTGAGTGACATTAGAATATATTGAGATTTTCAAATATATGGGTATTTTGAGAGATAGGACTTTATATATATGTT